TCAGTGCCTCCGAGCACGGTTCTCAGCCAGTAGTCCCGGGTTCTATTCCCGTCTCAGTATTTTTCGGAGAGTAAAAAGTTTATTAGCGTTTGTAACTGAGGTATTAGCTAGCACAACAAAAGTGGTTGGCTGTCGCGACCAGCATGATTGCTGATGCTGCTAGAATATTTTTAGTTACCACGACTGCTGATTCTTGGCTGGCCCCATATCAGCCAATGCATTAGCTGTCACAACTAAGGGATTTTTTTCCGTGCGATCCAATGCGGCTTAGTTTTGATTTTTGATCTTAGAACGGAGAGGTCCGTTACTTTAAATCACCCTGTAGTACATGGAGGTGCCAGTGTCAAGTTACGCCACTCAGCTTCCGTCAAATTCAATGAAATTTGGTGTCTCAAGTTACCCCGCACAGTTACCATTTTCTATAAAATTCAGTATTACCCGATGAATGATGAGTTTCCCTCAAAACCAAAGCTGCATTTAGAATGTTGAAATAATAGGGTTGAAAGATACTATAGTCATTTGGGTCCCAGCGAGACGTGTTTTGAGTACCAAGGAAGACTTGTAACACTTCTCTAAAATTTGTAAATTTACTAAAATTGAAAAATCGTTATAGAACTGACCAGCTGGCCCTAACCCGCCATTCAAACGCTTAATCGTCTTTCCAAACAAGTATGAAGAAAAGTGCTAGGGCAGTTTTGACCTCCGAATGTACCGAGCCAGGTGGCAGCTCAAAAAAGGAGGAAAAGCAGAAGTGTCTCAAGTTACCCTTGCTGTCTCAAGTTACCCCGGTTTACGGTAATGGCGGAAATCCCCCTCCCGCTCATGTAAACCATGATGCACCTGCAGCAGCCCTTGTGCGACCCAGGCGGGATTTTCACCACCGGATTATTTTTTGGACGGTACTCCTGAATACCCTCCAAATCTGGTTACTCTAGCTCAACTCCTTCCTTGTACACAGACGCCAACAACAACTAAAAAACAACAACAACACACAGACACAAAAGGCAAATGCATAGGCCCTCACCCTATTTTTTGAATAGAAGGGCGGGCCAAAAAGTACGGGATTCCCTGTAAAAAAAAGTACGGTGTTGCCTGTAGAAAAAAGTACGGTATTGCCTGAAAAAAACGACGGTATTGCCTGTTAAAAAAAAGTACGGTGAAGTCTGGAGTAATCAGTACAGGATTTACCGTGATCTTTTCTCGCAGTGTCCACTCCAGTCTCTCGCCAAGTTTTGGCCAGATCTAAAAGTCTCGCCAAAATTTTGTCAGACAAAATAGTCTCGCCACAAAACGGTCAGACACAAAAGTCTCACCACGAGACTTTTGTGTCTGACCACGGCCCTAAGGACGTAACCGATCGGCTCATTACGGCTTTCAGGTGGCGGTCAGACACTAAAGTCTCACCGAGACTTTTGTGTCTGTCCGTTTTGAGGCGAGACTTTTTTGTCTGACCCAATTTTGACGAGACTTTCAGGTCTGACCAAAACTTGGCGAAACTTCATGTCTCGCCATATTTTGGCGTGAAGTCTTTCCATCCAATTTGCAGTGCAAGCTTGTGAACAAAGCTGTAGCTCTCCAGTGCTAGAACCCTCTGATGTGTCTCCGCGGAAATTTCTTCACTCAGAGTCCAACCAGAGGCGCTTACCTCACCGTTGGCTATCTCTTACAGGAGAGTGACGAGATCTTGGAAGCGGACGTAATCTCAAACTAAATTTTCGTTATTTCCCAGAAGAAACTGAGTGCAGGGGAAACCACAACAAATTAGGTACTTGAATGACGCGGAAGATCATTATGGTCTATATAGCATTACGTATCGGCACTGCAAAGTTTCAGAATGGTAAGGTCACTTCGCAGAGGTGCGCGCGTGACTTTAATTTTTATGGACTGCAGATTCATATTGCCTGAACTTACTTAATCCTTATGAGTAAAAGTTAAGTTTTTGGCCTGTCCCGTGTTTTTTTCTTTTTCATGTAAAAAAAGACCAAACCTGCGGAGGGACGGGAATGCGATGCATGCTGTCCGTCCGTGCGTCCGTCCGAGCACTTCCCGTGGTGCGGTCTCGATCAAATTTGGTATACAGCCTCCTCGGGCGACCCTTAGAACCGCCAGGTGGCAGCAAAGCCGGTTTTCAGACGGAGGCCGGGGGTTGCGTGGTGACGTTGGGTCTGCTGTGTGAGGCTGCCTAATCCAGCTCGCCGCGGGGTCAAACCGGGTCGAGGGAATGCTATGCACTCGGTCCTCGGTCACAAGGCTTCACTGCACTGATCACTCGTTACAACCTAACCGCAGCGTGTTCTACGGGTTCGTGAATGGTGAAGTAACGACACTCAGGTTGGTTGAGTACTCGGGCACACGCGGACTCTTTCGCGGCGGGGTATTCGGCAGAGAGAGCTCAGGTGTTTCCGTTTCCGGTACGGTGGTTGTAGAAGTAACTGGAGCTTCTCCCGAGTAGGGGCTGCGTGAGGGAGGCTCGTGCTTAATCACTGGACACCTAAGGTGAACGCGTCGGCCACAGCCGGGGGCAATCAGATTAGTAGGCAACCTACCCGCCAGTCGTGTTAGTTAGCTGGCATTTAACACGGGGTGACGCGGCCTATGTTTTCTACATAGGCACGCGCGCAGGCGCAGAGGGGGGCAAAGTGGGTTGCCCCCCCCCCCCCCCCCCCCCCAGGAGCTAAGGCTTGCTGAAAAAAATCGCGCATTTGCCCCAAGGGGAACTAACTCCAGCCAAATTTGTGCACCAAAATTCATAAAATATGTAAAATTCACTTAAATTTTTTGAAATTGAACGAAATTTGACCGAAATGCATCGGAATACGACTGAAAGTCTTTGAAATTCGACTGAAACTTGTCGAAATTTCACCGAAGTTCATTGGATTTGTACACTGAAATTTTACAGGGCCTTGTTCCCTGTAACTTACTAAATCCCAAAGTTGTTGGACGTTGGTTACGGTGAATCCTGCGCAATGTGTGCATTGCAGTAGAACTTTTTAGGAGATATATATTCTGGTTACACGAGGTTATTTCTGCCCTCCAAATTTACTGATAGTTAAAGACAAAGGAGTTTACTTGTGTAACTTAGACTCCTTAAAGAACAAAGATAGTCGCCCCTCTATGCGCTTTATTTTTATTAAAAGGAGTCATGAAGAGTTCGGTTCAGTGACCTCATTTTTTTCGACGGAATTCAGACCCTGACAATAGTGAAGTAAGGTTAAAATTTTCTTCCTTGCGAAATTTCTTTCGGATTGCCTAAAATTTGATCAAAATATTAGTCATGTAATGTTAAATATTCTTGGGCACCTTGAAAAATTAAAGAAGACTAGTCTAGAAAGCTGCTGCTTTCTCTCGATCCATTTGTGTAGTGCGTAATTTTGTAATTAAGATATCTAAGAAAATGAATATTTTTATTTATTTGACGGTTCAAGTTTTACAAGCAAAAGTTTTCTACATTTGGGGCTGTTCTCCGCACCTCACTAAGGAATTTACCCATTGAAAACTTAAATCAAATGTCCCCGGACAGGGTAGGAGCTGGACGTACCCCCTCCGGGACGTACACAAGGTGTCCGTTGTAATAAGATATTTTCAGCGCTGTTCTGAACACATGAGGTTTGTCCATCAGTTGTTTTTTTTTTTTTTTAAGAATAAATGGGGATCTAGTTAGAAATTAGGAGCAAGTCAATTTATTTCGCAGTCTTTGCTCTGAACTGGTCTACATAGATGTGTATTATTTTAAGTCTTCTGACAATGTTCCTCTTTTCCTAGAAAAAGACTTATCTGCTTAACACAAAAAAAATCAAAACAGTTACGAAAAAACTAATGATTGGCAGTATTTAATGAAGCGCCTCGTTTTGCAATCAACCCTATTGATTCAACACCTGTTATTTTGAGTTAAAAGGGAACATTTCTTACACTTGGGAGCCCTTGGATGGGCACGAATTCAGAAAGCGTCCTAAGAGGGGATTTGTACTTGTACTGAACAAAGCAAAAACCAATACATTGCAACCACACTTGACCTAGTTCAGATAGTTCCTCCTTGGTTTGTCCGAATGTGCTGTTTGTGGTTGCTGCTCGTGCTGCACTTTTTCTTGCTGACTGAGAACTCGAAAGGCTCCTACCTAATGTGGGTTCTGAGATGCCTTCTGAGGTTTCCGGATTCACTGAAACTCTTCTTACAAACGGTGCACTCGTAAGGCTTCTCCCCGGTGTGGGTGCGAAGGTGCATTCTCAGACCTCCACTTTTCCTGAAACTCTTCTTGCAAACTGTGCACTCGTAAGGCTTCTCCCCGGTGTGGGTCCGTAGGTGCGTTCTAAGATCTCCACTTGTCCTGAAACTCTTCTTGCAAACGGTGCACTCGTAAGGCTTCTCCCCGGTGTGGGTCCGCAGGTGCGTTTTAAGATCTCCACTTTTCCTGAAACTCTTCTTGCAAACTGTGCACTCGAAAGGCTTCTCCCCGGTGTGGATCCGAAGGTGCACACGCAGACTCCCACTCTCAGAGAAACTCTTCATGCAAACTGTGCATTCGAATGGCTTGTCCTTTGTGTGGATCCGCAGGTGCGTTCTCAGACTTCCACTCACTGAAAACTTCTTCAGACAAACTGCGCACTCGAAACGCTTCTCTCCGGTGTGGGTCCGTAGGTGCGTTCTAAGATATCCACTTTTCCTGAAACTCTTCTTGCAAACTGTGCACTCGAAAGGCTTCTCCCCGGAGTGGGTCCGGAGGTGCAATTTTAGATTCCCACTTTGAGAGAACTTCTTCTGGCAAACTACGCACTCAAACGGCTTCACCTTGGTGTGGGTGCGAAGGTGCCTTGTTAGGTGACTCTTTGAGCAACTTCTCCTCGCAGAACGTGCACTCGAAAGGCTTCTCCCCGGTGTGGATCCGCAAGTGCGCCTGGAGGACACTCTTCAGTCGGAACTCCTTCTCGCAGACTGAACAGTGGAGCGCCTGCTGCCCTCCACGCCTTTTTCCCTGTTGAGCACGCGGCGCCGCTGACGCTGCCGCCTGCTCGCCGCACTGTGCAATCTCAAGGGCCATGATGCGCCTGGCAGGGAGGGCCTGCTGGAACACACACATCAATTAGTCTAACTTCAGGTTTGCCCACTGCAACTAGAGGACATAGACCATACCTTAGGTGCAGGCGAAGACCTCAAAATGCAGAGAGTAACGGTGCACACCGACTCGGGTCCTATTCTGCATGAAATAAATTTGGTAAAGGAGTAGACGCTGGTGAAATTCTTGGCTGCACAGATTCCCCAAACGGTGGACAATTGGTCCAGTTAGCAATAACAAGAACACTAAAAGTTGGGAATAGGAACGAATCCCTGGACCGGAAGTCAAAGAACAGAAGTTAGAAATAAAACCGCTTCTGCGCATGCACAAACGCCTACTTTAGGGTGGCCAAAAAAATAAATCGAAGTTCTTCCGATCGTCCAATTCCGCTCAGAAATCGATTCTAGACCGAAAAATTAATACCCCTTTTTTGGCGTTTTGTCCTGAGACGATTTTAAATACCGGCTCAAAAGCAAAAATGGTTTTTTACCCATTTAAAACCCTGTTTTCTCGTCAGCGATCCCTGTGACCAGCAGATGATTACTCTAGCTTTCACCTTCCCTGGCCTTATTGCAAGGTCTGAAGTTAGGAAGAGCCAGGTACTAGACACAACGGAACAGTTAGGCAGGATTTGACGGGGAAAATCCTTATATACCTTCTGGCAGAAAAAAAATCGAACGACCCGTCAAAACCTGCCTGGACCTGTTCGGTTGTGTCTAGGACGTGGCTCTTCTTAACCTCTGACCAGGGATAATAAGGCCAGGGAAGGTGAAAGAGTAATCATCTGCTGGTCACATGGATCGCTGACGAGAAAAAAGGTCGAAACGTGACTTAAAAATCGAAATTGGGCGATTACTGCATGTTTCAAGCAGAAACGGACCTTAAAACGCAGTCTGGCCAAAAAATGATGCAAATCTTTTTGCATGCTCTAAAAAACTGACCAAGGGTTTGAAGATCAGAGAAAAATTGCGGGCTCAGAGCTCGACAGGTTTTTCTTTATATTAAAAACAATACGAAATGCATGCCCCCAGATGGTAGGCAAATTGATTTGCACACCTCCATTTCACGTGGTCGGGTTATTTAGGGATAGGGTAAGATAAAAAAGTGGACAAGGGCCGATCTCAGCCGTCCGAAACAAGAAAAATATCTCAAAATAGTGAACATATGTTGTTTTTTGTTTGAGCGAAAATCGCTAGCAGAATACTGAAGACGAAGTCTGACAAAAAGTTGGTGAAAACGTAATTTGTTCGCCGTTGAAAACAGAAGATTTTGCCGTCTCGCTTTTGAAAATCCAATGAAAATTGCAATTTACATGACAATTTTGGCGTTTTAAATAGATAAAAACAATTTTGAGCTTTTGAGCCGGTAATCGTCTCAGGACAGATCGCAAAACATAGGGGTTTTTATTTTTCGGTCTAGAATCGATTTCTGAGCGGAATCGGACGATCGGAAAAACTTCGATTTTTTGGGCCACCCTCACGATTATTTCATTTGCGATGCAGAACGCACTTTCAGCGCGATATAAATTTCATCGCTCTTTTCTGTGATGATTATTGCAAAAAGGTGTGATGAGCTGCTGCATCGCAGAATTTTGCAATGATCATTGCAAAAAACTGTATTGAATGCAGATTTTGTGTTGCCATCATCGCATTTTTGTGCAATAATTCCTACTTTCATTGCAGAAATGTGCGATGATCATTGCAAAAATTTTGTGATACAAAAGTCATCGCATCTGGGGAGCAATGATTCGTGGGAATCACATTTTGGATATTATCATACGTTTTTGTGTTGAAAGTATCACAACTTGGATAACAGTGCTAGCCTACTTCCAGTCGAGGTGGGACGTCTGCGCAGCAGCGGCACTTTAATTCCTCGATCTACGGTCCAGGGATTCGTTACATACAAAACAAGAAGGAAAGACATCAAAGAATTGATATCACATGGGAGAGACTCGTTCGTAAAAAAGCTAGATTCATGTGTCAGTAGCTGATCGTTACATGAGTTGTCCTCTGACGATTTGTAATTTTGCCTTTTAACGAACGCTTCCGGTTGGTTCTCCTCTCAGGCAGGGAACATCGATGCATCGCGATATCTCGAGATATCGATTCTCATGCATAATCGAATTTACGCTAGAGTCCGTGAGTCCGTGCCAAAAACCTGCTTTTTCCATAAAACCCTCAGAAGGACACATTCTAGACACATTTTAGAAAGCAGTCAAGTGAAACTTATTGTTTCATCTCTCATCTGACAAGATGACACGACACAGCTTGCAGTTCTGAGACATGTATCATGGTTAGGGTCAAACAATGTTTCGTTAATACCAAATGTCCCAAAATTAGCCATAGTCACTTGCAAAAAACCCTCCTAGATTTTTGTTGACCAAAGATCCCGTGCCAATGTTGTTGTTCTTTGCGTTTCAGTGGCGTTCAACATCAAAAGATACAGACACGTGAAAAGAGGTTAGTTTCACATAATGCACTAAAAACGTCTCTCTTTTCTGTTCATTTTCTCAATATTTCTCATTGCAAGTAAAAAAAAACTTCATTTACGATCAAGCGACTGACACTCCATCTTTCATTTGACACCACTCTCATTTTCCCACATGCTGTGAGATCTGAGATGAAAGATGTCCCCCCAAAACTCATTTTTGAACACAATACTCGTTCTAGAGTTTTGTATGTTAATGAGTGGTGTGTAAAGAACGAGTAAAAAATACATGTAACACCAGGAAATCGCGCAACACAGGTTGACCCTTTCCCTCTATTATTTATCGGATGCGGGCCAGAAACATTTTAGGAGTTCTGCCTTCAAACAATTCAAAATTGTCTAACGGTGCAATCAACAAATACAAACACCGCATGCTGTTTTGATTTGAGATCACGACGATAAGCGCGCCGATATCTATGAGGGGACCGTGCCGAAGGCTGCCCAGCGCCGCTGGCCAAAAGCCAAGTGTTAAAACCAAATTTTTGAAAGGATTGTCGAAGCTGGTGCAGATTCTCAATGGCAAAGCCAATTACGACAAGCCACACGGTTTGCCGTCTACCCTGTTGAAGACGCCCCCACCCCCCTTTTCCCCCCAAAGTGGCGTAGCAATACGCTTGGCCCAGACCGCCCCGATGTAGCGTTACACAAAATTATTCATGAAAACAAAGCTTTAACCCTCTCACATTCTGAGTGTGACGCGTGACTTAACGCCGTCCTCTCATGTCCATACCGCAGCGTAACGCACTCGATCCCCCTGCCTCGAAGAGCGCACCGTAATAAAGGGACGTCCCCAAACAAACGCAACTGGCAAGACGAACTCAAATCCATGGCCACTTGTCCTGTTTCACCTTTGCAAGTTAGCCCAACGTAGATCGGAAATGCTTCACGCTCCTCGCCGACTTTCCTTCACGCTAATCCGGACGACCAGAAAGAAATCCTAAAGTCGTAAGCACATTTGACGGTGGATCGAGACGTTTACAGTGACCGGAAACAAGGGTGACCGGCGTATCTAGCGAACTGATTCCCTGGTGGAAATGCCTGCACAAACACTCACACTTAATGATTGTGTACAATTTTGTACGTGTAACTTGCACGATTATGTGCATGTAAGTTGAATTTGCATATTATTCGTACAAGTCCATAAATTTAAACAGATCTGGGCATAATTATGTGAAAAAAGAGGTTTCAAACTACGCATCAGCAAGTACAAAATTGTACTCAAACATTTAGCGTGCAGGCTTCCTCGGCGCCCCGTTGGCAGTGCAGCCTTACCGTCGCGCGGGTGCACCTTATCTCTTCCTCGCGTGCCAACTGCGACTTACCTTCGGGAAGTCCGCCTTGGGCAAGCCGACGAGGGACCGCTGGGAACACTGCGGCTGCGTTTCACGGCCCGAAGTGTGCCACGAACTCTGCAACGGAAGTGGAGAGAAATTGAAGAAGGGCAACGGATCCTGCGAATGCACCGTGTGGACATCCGGGAAGAGAGGACGCGCGGAAGGGAAACGCTCGCGGTTACGCAATTTCAGGATCAACACTCTGAAACGGTTTTAACCTTTTTCAGGCTACACAAGGATACATGAGTTTTCAAAAAGAAAACTCCGTGATTAACGAACTATGTCTCCGCATAAGAAGCTGTGTAGTTTGTCCCTGCTCAAAGTACTTCGTAAGGTTCTAATGCGTGCTGTTTACTTCCCGTCGATTCCGCTTCAGCACTTGTGAAATGCTCCACACAGTTGATCCATGAAGCGGACGAAGGGGATAGCTCAATTTTCATCATTTTTCAGGAGACACAAAAAACTGATTGCAGGGTAAACTTCATCCAATCAGATGAATGATGCAATTGCATTTTTGTCAAGAAAGCCTAAGAAATAACTGTGAAAATTTTCATAAGTCTAGTGTCACTCTGTAGACGATTTCTGTGATTTAAATCTTTACGTTGGAGTAGATTACGGAACCATGTTGGGTCTAGGACAACTCGTCCCGACCGACTCGTACCCGGCCTAATACGTCCCCGAGGAAATCCCGTCCCAACCCATGTTGATTCCCGTCCTAAGTCGCCCAAGTAATTATGTATTTTTAAACAATATTTTTATTGAATTTGGCTTTATTTTACGATGGGACCTATGAACAACTTAGTTCTCCCAAACAAGGCGGAATTTGGAGACAATTCAAGTGGAGCTGCGGTCCTTATACTATACCCAGGATTCAGCCGGCCCGAGATTCAATTTGTGTGGCCCTTTATGCATTTCGGAAATTTTCTATAGGATTTAAATGAGATTTTGCTGACTAGTACAACTTTAAACGCTGATTCTGATGTTGAAATGTGGTTAAAAAGTTAACGGCCAATTGTGAGAAATTTGCTGTCAAAATCGCCGATTCCATGGCAAAACTCGACTCGTGAAAGGAAAAAAAAGGGAGTGGGGGGAGACGAGCCGCACAGTGCGGCCGATCCCGAAAAACGCGGACATAAACGACTTTTTCAATTTTGAGCTACAATTGTTTCCATAGTGGGATTCGAAACTAGGATGATTCTTACGTCTAAAAACAGGGCGGACCAAAAGCCGAGCTTCTTTTTGGGTCTGTACAGCTACTCCAAAAGCTGAAATAGCACGTTCGAAATGAAAAATTTCTTTGACTGCAGGTAGACAAGATGCAAATTGACTTCGTGACTCCTAGGATTTCTTGAAATCGTATTTTTTTTAAAAGCTGCTGCTTTCTCTCGATTTATTTGTGTAGTACGTAATTTTGTAATAAAGATTCCTAAGAAAATGATTTTTATTTATTTGACAGTAAAAGTTTTACAAGCAAAAGTTTTCTACATTTGGGGCTGTTCTCAGCACCTCACTAAGGAATTTACCCATTGGAGACTTAAATCAAATATCGCTGAAAACAAGGTGTTCGTTGTAATAAGATATTTTCAGAGCTGTTCTGAACACATTTGGTTTGTCCATCAGTTGTTACTTTTTTTTTTTTTTTGGAGAATAACCGGGAAGCTAGTTAGAAATTAGAAGCAAGTCAATTTATTTCACAGCCTTTGCTCTGAACTGGTCTGCATAGATGTGTATTATTTCAAGTCTTCTGACAATGTTCCTCTTTTCCTAGAAAAAGACTTATCTGCTTAACACAATAAAATTTAAAACAGTTATTTAAAAAAACAACTAATGATTGGCAGTATTTAATGGAGCGCCTCGTTTTGCAATCAACCCTGTTGATTCAACACCTGTTATTTTTGAGTTATAAGGGAACATTTCTTACACTTGGGTGCCCTTGGATGGGGACGAATTCAGAAAGCGTCCTAAGAGGGGATTTGTACTTGTACTGAACAAAGCAAAAACCAATACATTGCAACCACACTTGACCTAATACAGATAGTTCCTCCTTGGTTTGTCCGGGTGTGCTGTTTTTGGTTGCTGCTCGTGCTGCACTTTTTCTTGCTGACTGAGAACTCAAAAGGCTCCTACCTAATGTGGGTTCTGAGATGCCTTCTGAGGTTTCCGGATTCACTGAAACTCTTCTTACAAACGGTGCACTCGAAAGGGTTCTCCCCGGTATGGGTCCGTAGGTGCGATCTAAGATTTCCACTTTTCCTGAAACTCTTCTTGCAAACTGTGCACTCGAAAGGCTTCTCCCCAGTGTGGATGCGAAGGTGCTCTCTCAAACTCGAACTTGCAGTGAATTTGTTCTTGCAAACTGTGCACTCGTAAGGCTTCTCCTCGGTGTGGGTCCGTAGGTGCCTTCTAAGATCTCCACTTGTCCTGAAACTCTTCTTGCAAACTGTGCACTCGAAAGGCTTCTCCCCGGTGTGGATCCGAAGGTGCGTTCTAAGATCTCCACTTTTCCTGAAACTCTTCTTGCAAACTGCGCACTCGAAAGGCTTCTCCCCGGTGTGGGTCCGTAGGTGCGTTCTAAGATCTCCACTTTTCCTGAAACCCTTCTTGCAAACTGTGCACTCGAAAGGGTTCTCCCCAGTGTGGATGCGAAGGTGCTCTCTCAAACTCGAACTTGCAGTGATTTTTTTCTTGCATACTGGGCACTCGTAAGGCTTCTCCCCGATGTGGGTCCGTTGGTGCGTTCTAAGATCTCTACTTGTCCTGAAACTCTTCTTGCAAACTGTGCATTCGAATGGCTTGTCCTTTGTGTGGATCCGCAGGTGCGTTCTCAGATTCGCACTCACTGAAAACTTCTTCAGACAAACTGCGCACTCGAAGGGCTTCTCCTCGGAGTGGGTCTGAAGGTGCAATTTTAGATTCCCACTTTGAGAGAACTTCTTCTGGCAAACTACGCACTCAAACGGCTTCACCTTGGTGTGGGTGCGAAGGTGCGTTGTAAGGTGACTCTTTTGAGCAAACTTCTCCTCGCAGAACGTGCACTCGAAAGGCTTCTCCCCGGTGTGGATTCGCAAGTGCGCCTGGAGGCCACTGTTGAATCGGAACTCCTTCTCGCAGACTGCACAGTGGAGCGCCTGCTGCCCTCCACGCTTTCCTCGTGGAGCACGCGGCGCCGCTGACGATGCCGCCTCCTCGCCGCACTGTGCACTCTCAAGGGCCATGATGCGCCTGGCAGGGAGGGCCTGCTGGAACACTCAGATCAATTAGTCTAACTTCAGGTTTGCCCACTGGAACTAGAGGAAATTGACCATACCTTAGGTGCAGGCGAAGACCTCAAAATGCTGAGAGTAACGGTGTACACCGACTCGGGTCTTATTCTGCAACAAAATGAAATAAATATGGTAAAGGAGTAGACGCTGGTGAAATTCTTCGCTGCACAGATTCCCCAAACGGTGGACAATTCGAGGGGTCCGCTTCATAAGATCTTATCTCGGCGTTCGCCCCAAGACACTTATCTTAAACGCCTGCAAATTTCACTCATTTTGGTCAGTCAGAATAAATACGACGGTAAGCGAAACATTTTTACATGCACTTATGGTTTCTTTGATCTTCCATCTTTAGATTTACTTGAACATGCATACTCACAAATTATATTGATGTATAGCTGTATCAAATGATCAATGTATCAATGATATGTGAAATTCACCTGCGTTTAAGATAAGATTGTCTTTGGGGGGGGGGGGCGCCCAGATAAAATCTTTGAGGACTGTGTGGTTGTGATGTGCAAGTACCACAACCACACAAGGACAGCGGTTCCCAACCATTTTCAGCCCGCGACCCCAAAATGGCTTCCAAAATTTTTCGCGACCCCAGGAACAAAATAACGCGACCCCACACGACCTCTTGTTTTTTGGCCCGTCCCGTTAATTTTTTGTAAAAAAAATGACGAAGGGACGGGCATATAGTATGATGCATGCTGTGCGTCCGTCCGTCCGTTCGTTCGTCCGAGGACTTCCCGTGGTCCGTTCTGGACCAAATTTGGTATGCAGCCTCCTTGGGTGATCCTAAGAAACGCCCGGTGGCAGCAAATCCGATCCGAGCCCCGGGGGCGCTGCTGCAGGTGCATCATGGTCTACATGGGGTCGAGGAGGATCTCGCAACGGATGCAGCTAGGAGGGCATGTAGGGTATTTTTTGGAATCGGGGCGACGAGAAAAAACCAATGCTGCCAGTTTCGAGCGAATCGGAGAAGTTCGGACCCGGGTTCAAATCCCAGCGGGGTATTTTTTGAACATTCTTTTTATTCGAGTTTTTGCATTGTTTCTGATGTTTTTGATGGTGCTGATGACGAAATAGACATTTATTTTGACCCCAGACTCAGGTTCAAATCCCGACGGGAAAATAGGTGAAGTTCGCACATTTCTAAATGTACGAGACGGGCCAAAGTTGCCGATGTGTATCGCTACTTTTCCTGTTATTTTTTTTTTTTTTTTTTTTTTTTGGGGGGGGGGATTTTCCGAAAATTAACTTTCAGATTGAATTTTGACCTAATTTAGAGGGTTTAAGTGCATTTAAAATAGAGGGCCGAAATTTGTAATAAGACATTTTAATTTTCAAATGACAGCTGCATTGCTGTGTTAATTTTGACACCCGAGCTTGGTACTCTTTTGTGCCGCCCGCGCGGGCCTTTTAAAAACATTGGCGTGGGCATTGGCGTGGGTATAGGCATACCACGCTTGACATTGGGGATTGCCTCCACTCGGGCCGCATGAACATACAGCATTGAGGATTCGCGGAAGGAAAGAAAATAGAACATGGTAGTCAACGAGCAATCCAGGCTCCATCGGTTGACTGGGGACGAGTTAATCCCCTCCGCAGGGTTTTACTTACACGAACCTGTATTCTATGCGTCGGCTTCCGCTTGGAAGCGCCAAAAAACACCAAACGCCCGTCGGTTTTTCCATATTTCCGCACTGGCGGTTTCCCCACAGACCGACCCTCAGGAGCCAACTCGCGACCCCACGCGACCCCGGCCACCCCACAAAATTTTTCCGCGACCCCGGGGTTGGGAACCACTCGGAACCACTGGAATAGGACCCCTCGAATTGGTCCAGTTAGCAATAACAAGAACACTAAGAGTTGGGTGTAGGAACGAATCCCTGGACCGGAAGTCAAAGAACAGAAGTTAGAAAAATAAAACCGCTTCTGCGAGAGGGTTAACCACTCGCGTAATACCCTGTACACAAAAACCGTGTATTACGCGAAATACACGTGATCGTAATACTATTTTTGGGTCAAATGTGCCAATTTTGGCATTTTAGGGCCGTAATACACCCGTAATTCAGCGTAATACCGAGTAGTCTGTACACGATTTCTTGAAGTGTTTACCCCCTCGCGCTTCTGCGCATGCACATACGCCTACTTTAGGGTGGCCAAAAAAAACGAAGTTTTTCCGATCGCCTAATTTCGCTCAGAAATCTATTCTAGACCGAAAAATAATGACCCCTTTTATGCGTTTTGACCTGAGACGATTTTACATACCGGCTCAAAAGCAAAAATGGTTTTTCCCCATTTAAAACCATGTTTTCTCGTCAGCGATCCCTGCGACCAGCAGATGATTACTCTAGCTTTCGCCTTCCCTGGCCTTATTGCAAGGTCTGAAGTTAGGAAGAGCCAGGTACTAGACACAACCGAACAGTTCCAGGCAGGATTTGACGGGGAAAATCCTTATATACCTTCTGGCAGAAAAAAATCGAACGACCCGTCAAATCCTGCCTTGACCTGAACGGTTGTGCCTAGGACCTCGCTCCTCCTCACTTCAGACCTTGCAATAAGGCCAGGGAAGGTGAAAGAGTCGAGGTGGGACGTCAGCGCAACAGCGGCACTTTCATTCCTCGATCTACGGTCCGGGGATTCGTTACATACAAAAAATATGATTCAACGAACGTTAATGAAAGCAGATGATACTCGTTTCGTTTCCTTCTACGGGGTAGTATGGGGTAGTAAAGAAAGTATCAGTTCATGCACATTCAAAACATGCATCCCCGCTGTAGCCGGGGAGGGATTGTGAATGTTGCGCGCAGGCCGTCGCGCGCGAGGAGGGGATGCCAGGGTGCCATAGTCAAATTCCGCGCGGGCTGCGCCGCAGGCACAGCCAGCCAGACGCACCATCCCGCCCCGGCAGTCAGGCCCCATTATATTGTTAGGTATTTGGACTATGGGGTAAAAGCTAGCTGACACCTTTATGTGTCTTGTTGTTGTTGTTGTAGTTGGCCCGTCCCGTTCATTTTTTGTAAAAAAAATGACGGAGGGACGGGCATATAGTATGATCCCGGCTGTGCGTCCGTTCGTTCGTTCGTTCGTTCGTTCGTTCGTTCGTTCCTCCGAGGACTTCCCGCGGTCCGATCTTGACCAAATTTGGTATGCAGCCTCCTTGGGTGACCCTAAGAACCGCCCGGTGGCAGCAAATCCGATCCGAGCCCCGGGGGCGCTCCTGCAGGTGCATCATGGTCTACATGGGGTCGAGGAGGATCTCGGCAACGGATGCAGCTAGAAGGGCATGTAGGGGTATTTTTGGAATCGGGGCGACGAGAAAAAACCAATGGTGCCATTTTCGAGCGAATCGGAGAAGTTCGGGCCCGGGTTCAAATCCCAGCGGGGTATTTTTTGAACATTCTTTTTATTTGCGTTTTTGCATTGTTTGAGTTTCTGATGTTTTTGGGGGTGCTGATGACGAAAACTACATTTATTTTAACCCCAGACTCAGGTTTAGTTCCCGTCAGGGTCAAACATTGCGAAATTTGTACGTTTCTTAATGTACGGGACGGGCCAAAGTTGCCGATGAATATCGCTACTTTTCCTGTTATTTTAGGTATGTTTTTAAGTAAAGGTATCATCTGCTAAAAAATAGACTGAACACCAGGATATCGCGCAACACAGGTTGACTCTTTCCCCCTATTATTTATCGGATGTGGGCCAAAAACATATTAGGAGTTCTGCCTTCACACAATTTGAGATTGCCTATCAACAAATGCAAACACCGCATGCTGTTTTGATTAGAGATCACGACGATAAGCGCGCCGATGTCTATCAGGGGACCCTGCCGAAGGCCGCTCAGCGCCGCTGGCCAAAAGCGAAGTGTAAAAACCAAATTCTTGAAAGGATTGTCGAAACTGGTGCAGGTTCGCAATGGCGAAGCCTATTACGACAAACCACGGTTTGCCGTCAACCCAGTTGAAGACGTCCCCCCTCCTCCGCCCATAGTTGCGAAGCATTACGCTGGCCCAGACCGCCCCGATGTAGCGTTGCACAAAATTATTCATGAAAGCACAGCTTTAACCCTCTCACATTCTGAGTGTTACGCGTGACTTAACGCCGCCCTCTCAGGTTCATACCGCAGCGTAACGCACTCGACA